CCCTGCAAGGGCAGCGATGCCCGAGTGACATGGGGGTGGCAGCGAGTGACATTTGCCTCAAGGGACAAGGGAGGCTCTCCAAATTCAGAGCTGTCCTTGAGTTACCACCCAAACCCTGCTGGTTTCACCCGGGACAGGCCCTGGTTTGGGCTGATGTTGGAGCCTCCTGAGCCCGGGGGTTCCCCACTCAATGTCCTCTCACTGACAGGTCCTGGAGCTCTTCTCCCCTCCTGTTTCAGCCCCCAGGAGCCCACGGTGGTTTTCAGGTGCATGGTGACCTGGGGGACGTGTCCCAAACCACGAAAGGTTTGACTCGTTCTGCAGAGGGGCCATGAGTAGCTCCCAGGATGGAGCCCCCGGAGCACCTCGGCCTTGTTCTTTGCTCTGATGGGGCTGCTGGATTGTTTTGGGGTCACAAAAACATGTCACACACGCCTGGGAAGTGTCACCCCTGGAATGCAGCACCCCTGGGATGCAGCACCCCTGGGATGTGGCACCCTTAGGGATTTGACATCCCTGGGATGTGGCACTCCCAGGATGTGGCACCCCCAGTTCCAGGGCTGGGTCTTGGCAGAGACCCTTGGAAGGACCCCCCCCAAACTGTGTTTCACTTCTGGCACTGCCTGAAGCTTCACCCTGGGATCTGACACCCTCCAGGAGCTGACTCGCCCTGTGCTGCCCACTGGGACCCCACAAAACCTTGTCCTGACCCCCCTATGCCCAGAACAAGGACCTCCCCCATGCCACTCTTCCCTTCCTGTTGCTATTCCCCTTCAACCCCCACAGACCCCAGGACACGGCACACAGATGGGTTTGGTGCTCAAAGGAAGGGATTTTATTTCAATGCCACGAAGGAGAAGCAGGTGACAAAGGTTTGGTTACAGGGCTGAGGCTCTTGGGGGGACACAGTCCCGTGGCTCAGCCACCGTGGGAGACGGCTCCGTTTCAGTGACGGTGGCTGTGCCCATGCCCATGGTCATGCCCGTGGTCGTGGCCGTGGTCATCACCAGGGCCCTTGTGGGACCTGTTGTGGGCATCGATGGCCACGAGGCTCAGCGTGGTCAGGAACTCGGTGAACTTGAGGCGGCCGTCGTGGTTGCCGTCGGCTTTGGTGAAGAGCTGCTGGATGTAGCTGTCAATGGTCGTTTTGGGCTGTGGGGGGAGCACAGTCAGCTCGGGGTCACTCACCCTTATCCAGTAAGGGCTGAACCCCAAAAAACCCTCCTTCTCTTTGGGAAGCTCCCAAGATAAAGTTCTGGAATGGTCTGCCCAAGGAGGTGGTGGAGTCACCGTCCCTGGATGTGGCACTGGGTGCCAGGGATTAGTTGAAGTGTTGGGGCAGGGTTGGACTAGATGGTCTTGAAGGTCTCCTCCAGCCCAGTGATTCTGGAATTCTGTGAACCCTCCCCATCCCCAGGGATCCCTGGAAGTGCCCAAGGATGAGCTCTGAGCACCCCAATCCAGCGGGATGTGTCCCTGCCTAGCATCCACGGAATGAGAGGACCTCCCAGGCCCGTTCCCACCCATCCCATCTCATCCCAACCTATCCAATCCCACTGATCCCATCCCATTGATCCCATCCCATCCCATGGATCCCATCCCAACCCATCAATCCCATCCCATCAATCCCATCCCACTGATCCCATCTCATCCCATTGATCCCATCTCACTGATCCCATCCTAACCCATCCCATTGATCCCATTGATCAGGGCTCTCACCGGCACCGTGTTCCTCAGGAAAGGCTCGGCCGTGTCCTTGAGCAGACTGGAGAACTCCTCCTTGCTCAGGTAGTCGTCCATGGGGTGCCTCATGGCGTACCGGTGGTAGACGTTGACGGCGCATTCCAGCGCCAGCTCCAGGTCGGTTTTCATCCTGCTGGGAGGGGGAAAAACGGCAAAATATCAAACAGAACCCCAGCACGGGCACCGGCCGCTCATCAGGAAGGAGCTGCTCACCTTGGAGGAGGTCTGGGCTCTGCAGAGGAAGGAGCAGGAGGATCGGGTGATGCCGAGCCGGAGATGGCACCTTTTATACCCTGCTGGAGATGCCAGCCGTGCCAGCCTCGGTTCCCGGCAGGGCAGGAACCTCCAGGAGTTGTGCAAGGCAGCTCAGCACGCCCAGGTGAGGATTTCGGGCTCCTCACCCCATCCAGGAACTGTTATCGAGGGAGGGGAAGCCCCAGACTCGTCAGGCAAACCAAGGAAACACCAAAAATGGCATTGGGGGTCAGCAATGGCGCAAGAGCTTTTCTGGAACGTTCCACAAGTGTTTGATGGAGATGGTGGAAGAGGAACTTCTCTGGGTGGGGGTCTCCAGCTGACACTGGTTTCACCCAGTGGTTTGTCACAGATGTTTTTGGTGAATTTTGGACAGGTGTCGGATTAAGTCCTTTTCTGACTCACAAATGGGGCAATTGAGAGGCGTTTGAAAAACTTCAATTTCATTTTGTCAGGCTTTGAAAATTCTCCGCCAATTCACTCCCCACAGACAGGTGCCAGGGTGGCCAGCACATCCCAACCCTCCCTGAGGACATTCCCCATGATCCAGGGGACAATCCTGCTGTGTGGAACTCTGCCAGCCGCTCCTGGGAGGTGGCACTTCCCGGCAGCTGGAATTGCTGGATAACCCAGGGCATTGGCCAACCCTGCCCACCCCCAGCTGTCCCCCAGCTTTGAGACCCCCCCCAGTGCTCCCAGTGGAGCCCCCCCAGTATTCCCAGTGCCCAGAATGAGCTGAAGAACCCCAAGTGTCTGGAGGGGGGTGGTGAGGAGCCTCCACCCCGAGGTGGTCACGGAGGCTTTTGGGAAGTGACGGTGACAGCGGTGGTGAAACATCTCCTGCCAGCCTCCTAATCCCAGGAACTGCTGCCAGAAAAACCCAAAATTGCAAAAGAGGGAGACAAAGGGACGGGGTTTGGGATGGGGACGGGCACGTCCTCAACGGGAAGGGGACATGCGTGGGCTGGGCAGAGGGACACAGGTGACCCGGCAGTGACACGGGTTCAGACAGGCCTGGGGATGGCAGAGGGCGTGGCTGGGCCACGTGGGGACAGGGACAAGGACAGGTGAGTGCCATGGGGATGGGAGGGGGATAAGGACAGGTGAGTGCCATGGGGACAGGAGAGGGACCAGGACAGGTGAGTGCCATGGGGATGGGAGGGGGACAAGGACACCTGTGTGCCATGGGGACAGGAGAGGGACCAGGACAGGTGAGTGCCATGGGGACAGGGACAAGGACAGGTGAGTGCCATGGGGATGGGAGGGGGACAAGGACACCTGTGTGCCCTGGGGACAGGAGAGGGACCAGGACAGGTGAGTGCCATGGGGACAGGGACAAGCACAGGTGAGTGCCATGGGGACAGGAGAGGGACAAAGGTGAGTGCCATGGGGACCGGAGAGGAACAAGGACACCTGTGTGCCATGGGGACAGGAGAGGGACCAGGACAGGTGAGTGCCATGGGGACAGGAGAGGGACAAAGACAAGTGAGTGCCATGGGGACCAGAGAGGAACAAAGACAGGTGAGTGCCATGGGGACCGGACAGGAACAAGGACACCTGTGTGCCATGGGGATGTGAGAGGGAGTGGCTGAGCCACCTGGCAAGGGGGACGAGGACAGGTGAGTGCCATGGGGACAGGAGAGGGACAAGGACAGGTGAGTGATTCAGGGTGGATCCCTGACAAGGGGATGGATTTAGGTTGGATCCCTGTGGGCAGCATCATTCCACCTTCAGATGGCCACAGGTGAGGAGTGGGATTTTGGGGCTCCCTCTCACCTACCCGGGGGTGCAGCCCCATTCTCTGGGGGTTCACTGATTTTGGAGGAATGGAGAATTTTTTTTTCCCTAAATCTTAGACTCCCAGGATCCCAGCCGGATGTTGGAAAAGCTCCAAGATCATGGAGTCCAAGTTGTGCCCAATCCCCACCTGCTCACCCAGACCAACACCCAGGAGTTCCCCGGACACCTCTAGGGGTGCCCACTCCAAACCTCCCTGGGCCGCCCTTCCAAGGCCTTTCCAGGAGGAAATTCCACACCATGAGCCCCCCCCCCGAGGACGTTCCCTCTCCTCCTGTCCCTTTGTGTCATGGCTGGAGCATCCCCGAGCTGAGGATGACGGCGGTGGAGGGGGCGCAGCCACATCTGGAAGGGGCGTGTGGCACATCTGGAGCCAGCAGCGTGACAAAGATTTTCATTGCGAGGGGAAAGGGCAGCGGGGGAGGAACGGAGCGGCGGGGCCGGGACCGGGAAGGGCTGGCCCGGGGCACCGGGAAGTGGCTGCTCGGCACGGCCGCACCCCGGGCAGGAACGCGAGGGGTGGGAAGGCGACAATCGCGACATCCACGGGTGAGGGACAGAGCCCGAGCTGGTATAATTCCAGCTCGGAGCTGTTCCCGCATCCCTGCGGGATGCCAGCGGCTCCTGCGGAGGAGCGGCCGGGCAGGGCTGAGTGAGCCCGACGTGGCTGCCGGGGAGCGGCCCCGGGGGCGGTTCGGGAGGCCGCGGGGGATGCAGCATCCACCCGGGCAGAGCGAGAACCAGAACCAGAACCAGAACCCGAGCCAGAGCCAGAGCCAGAGCCAGAGCCAGCCTGGGAGTGGCTCCGGGGACGGTTCGGGAGGCCGCGGGGGATGCAGCATCCACTCGGGCAGAGCGAGAACCAGAACCAGAGCCAGAGCCAGAGCCAGAGCCAGAGCCAGAGCCAGAGCCAGAGCCAGAGCCAGCCTGGGAGTGGCTCCGGGGGCGGTTCGGGAGGCCTCGGAGGATGCACCCCCGGCAGAGTGAGAACCAGAGCCAGAACCGGAACCAGAACCAGAGCCAGAGCCAGAGCCAGAACCAGAACGAGAGCCAGAGCCAGAATCAGCCAGAACCAGAGCCAAAACCACGGCCAGAGCCAGAAAGAGAACCAGAACTACAGCCAGAGCCACAGCTGCAGCCAGCCTGGCATCACCCCCAGCTTCCCCCAACCCAGGCAGAGATCCCCCATCCCGGGTCAAAAACGCTTCATTTAAATCGAGATTTATTGAAATGACATCGGGAGCACAACGGGAGGGTCCCGGGGCGGTGCCGGGCCCTGCCCTCACTTCCTGCGGGGCATCTTGTCCGGGAGGTCCTGGAAGAACTCGTTGCACATCATGGCCATGCAGGCCAGGAAGGTCACGTACTCCTGGAAGTCCACCTCGTTGTCGCTGTTGCAGTCCAGGTTGCTCATCAGCTTCTGTAAACTGGCCTCGCTGGTTTGCTTCTGCCCGGGGGGAGGGAAAAGGAGGGGTTAAAACCGGCCTTTGCACGTCGGCCCCAGGCCCCCCCCCCCCGGCACTCACGCTGAAGCTCGGCAGCTCCTTGGTGAGCAGCTCCTTAAGCTCGGCTTTGTTGAGCTTGTACTTGTCGCCCTCGTTGCCAGAGTACTTGTGGAAGGTGGCGACCACCACGGCCAGCGCCTGCTCCAGGGGACACGCCATGGGGACAGCGGCAAGCCTGGGGACACGGGGAGGGGACAGAGCTGGGCATCGCCGGGTACACCCGTGCCAGGCCCGGGATGCGCCGTTCCCTCCCTGGCCCCACCTCCCGCTCCGGCCGGGCTGGGCAGCCCCAAAATAGAAGGAAAATGGGGCAGGGAAAGGGTTCAGGCGCTTTTCCAGCCCTCGCCAGGTGAAATCCACATTCCCAGCTCGGCACCTGCAGCAGGAACCTCTGCCAGGGGGAGGGGGGGCAGCCGCGCCTCGGCAACATCTGGAGAGCATCTGGAGAGGGAAGGGAGGGGGGAAAAGCAACTCACCGAGAGTTCAGGCTGGCCACGGGAGGACGGGCAGGGCGGAAGGGGAGCCAGCCTCAGGCCCTGGCATTTATAGCCCCGCCTGGGCCACACCCGGCCGGGGAGGCAGCGCCGCGGCCGAGCCCGCCCGGACCCGGCTGGGAAAGGAAAAAAGGAGGAGAAAGGAAACCCCGGGAGCCCCCCTCCCCACTGCCACGGGCGGTGGTTTGGGTTAGGAGGAGCAAAATGTGCCTCTGGGGCTGCCCAGGGACCGCCAGGGCTGGGAGAGCCCCCCGGGATTGGGGATGTGCGGGTGGGCACCGCGTCCCCCCGGTGCCGCCCGCGCTGCTCCCGGCAGCATCCCGAGGTTCTGCCGGGACCCAGCGGGGGTGGTGTCGAGCCGGGCTTGTGCCGAGGGGTTTTTTTGCCTTTTCCAGTGGCCTGGCAGCGATTTGTGTTTCCCAGCGGCGAGGGCGGCGTCCCGAGGCGCCGTTGTGTAACGGGGCTGCTCCCGTGGCTGCGCGGCCCCGGGCACGTGTCCGGGAGCTGCGGGAGCACCGGGAACCGGCACTGCCCACCCCCCAAGCCTGGCAAAACCCCCGAGTGTCCCCCAGCTGGGCAGAGGGACAAAAACGGCGACGAAGCTGCGGTTGCTGCCGTGCTCAGGGTGGGAAATTCACCAAACCCCAGCTCGGGGGGTCTTCACATTTTGGCTGAAAAAAGCCCCCAAGGCTGAGCTTGGTCACCCCAGCAGCGAGTGGAGATTTGGGGGAATCGCTGGGAGGGGCAGAAGCTCCGGGGGTTCTTTGTAAAGGGTCTGGGAAGGGGTAGGGGAAAGTTTGGAGCTCCTGGAAGGACTTGAGGGGGCTCGGGGAGGAGCTGGGGGCTTGGGGACAGGCTCTGTCCTGCTCTGTGGGGGTTTTACAGCCGGGATTATTCTCTGGAAAGGCAGAGAGAAGCTGAGGGATCTTTCCCAAACCAGTCCCGACCTGCCCGGAGCTGCTGGGGGCGGGGGAGCCCCGTGACTCCCGAATGCCACCCCCGGTTGTGGCTCTGGCTGCTGTGCCTTGCCCAGGCTTGGTGTGTCCCCAACCCCGGTGGCACCCGGGGCACCACTCCTGAACCCTCCCCGAGGCAGGCAGAACCTTCAGGGGAACATCCAAGGGCTGGTTTTGCTCAAATTTTTCCAAAATAAAACCTCCCAGGGCTGAGGCACGCCATGGAAAATCCCCCGGAGCTGGAGGAAGGCGTGAGTCAGCCTGGGCCCGCTGCTTGTGGCCACTAATAAATAAATAAATAAATAAATAAATAAATAAATAAAAATCGCCTCCCGGTTGAAACCACAAGCCAAGAAAGGGAAGTGAGGCTTTAAAAAATAAATGATAATCGCCTCCCGGTTGAAACCACAAGCCAAGAAAGGGAAGTGAGGGTTTAAAAAATAAATGATGGGGGGAGGGGGAAAAAGAAAAGAAAAAAAAAAAAAAAAAAAAGGAAATTTGAGCGTGATTTCCTTTGCCGAACCAAATATTTCCGTGGGTTTAAAAAAAAAAACAAACTTTTTTTAAAAGAAAAATTTAAAGGAAAAATGAGCCCCTCGAGACCTCCCCTTCCCCAGGGAAGCACGAGCTCTCTGAGGGACGAATCCATCCGAATTTCAGAGACCCCCCCCCAGAACCCGGGGCTGCTCCTCTCCTGTCCCTCCACCCTCCCCGAGGGACACCCGGGGACGTCCCCGCGGCCACTCACGCTCCCGAAGACGGGCAGCTCCTTGTTGAGCAGCTCCTTGAGCTCGGCCTTGCTGAGCTTGTACTTGTCGCCCTCCTTGGCCGAGTACTTGTGGAAGGTGGTGACCATGAGGGCCATCGCCTGCTCCAGGGGACACGCCATGGCCGGCCTGGGGACACGCGGGGCTGCCGTCAGCTTTTGGGGGTGTCCCGGGCAGCTTTTGGGGGGAAGGGGAGCGGGGACTCACCGGCTCAGCGCGGATCAGCTCGCCCAGGGGTCGGGATGAGGCGCCGGGGCACGGAGGGGGTTTATAGCCCCGGGAGGGCGGCGCTGCCCCCGCGACACCCCCGAGCCCCCGGGCCCGCCCTGCTGCTCCCTGAGAGGGTTTCGCCCGCGCCTCATTTTTGGCTAACGAGCTGTGTGATTTCATTAATGAGATGTGTGATCCCGTTAATGAGCTCTGTGAGATCCCATTAATGAGCTCTGTGATCCCATTAACGGGCTGTGAGATCCCGTTAATGAGCTGTGTGATCCCATTAATGAGCTCTGTGAGATCCCATTAATGAGCTGTGAGATCCCGTTAATGAGCTCTGTGAGATCCCGTTAATGAGCTCTGTGATCCCATTAACGAGCTGTGAGATCCCGTTAATGAGCTGTGTGATCCCATTAATGAGCTCTGTGAGATCCCATTAATGAGCTGTGAGATCCCATTAATGAGCTGTGTGATCCCGTTAATGAGCTCTGTGAGATCCCGTTAATGAGTGAGCTGTGTGATCCCATTAATGAGCTCTGTGATCCCATTAATGAGCTGTGAGATCCCGTTAATGAGCTCTGTGAGATCCCATTAATGATCTTTGTGAGATCCCATTAATGAGCTGTGAGATCCCGTTAATAACTGAGCTGTGAGATCCTGCGCGTCCCTGTCCCCCCATCTCCTCCAGGGCTGGGAAAGGGACACGAGGAGGGGGGGAAAATTCCCGGGATTATTCCCCAAAATGGGACTTGGGGGTGGCTGTCCCCAAGCACAGAGACCCCAAGGATGGGGGTCGAGGCCGGATCTCCGCGTCCCGGCGGAGCCGCGCCCGGCCCGGCCCCGCACCCCCCGGGCTGAGTCACGGCCGGGCCTCGCCCCGCGGGGATTCCTCGGCCGTGACTCAGCCCGGCCCCGCCCGCTCCCACGGGGACAGCCCGGTTCGGCTGGCACGGGAGCTCCGGGCTGCTCGGGGGGGGCTGCGGGAGCGGGCAGCACCCGAGGGGCGAGAGGGGGGGGGTCCTGGTTCCACGGTGCCGCCCCCCACCCCGTGACTCGGGGGCCCCCACCGCGCTCCAGCTCCACGGCCCGGTCTCTTCCCGGTGAGAAATTCCCAGGAAAAGCCAAAACTGCCGGGCCCGGGATTCCTGCAGGGCGCCGGCAGCTCCGCCCTGCCCAGCCCGGGGGTCCCGCGGAGCTTTGCCCCCACCCCGGCTGGGGTGCTGGGACAGGAATTGGGGTGGGGGCAGCCGTGGATGTGCGAATGTTCCCCCCCTGACTCGGGGGGGGGGACACGGGACAATCGCGGCCGCGGTGTGTGCTGACACCCCGTGGTGGCTCCGGGGCACTCGGGACCGGCCTTGTCGCCAGCCCAGGCAAGGCGTGACACGGCGGTGGAGGGCGGGGACCCCCTCCCTCATCCGTCCCCCCCCTCCGCCGCCCCTCCCGCGACGGCAAAAGCTGAGCGGCACCCGCTGCTCCTCCGAACTTTATTGCTGCAATAAATAACCACGGTGCGGCACCCGGCCGGGACCGCGCCGCCCCCCGGGCAGGGGGAAAAGCGCCCTTTGCTCAAGGAGACCCCCCCAGTTTGGGGGGCAGCCCCAAAGGCAGAGGGGGGGCTGCCCGTGCTGGGATTTCTGCCGGCGCAGCGCTGAGGACAGACAGAATTCCCGTCCCGGAGCAGCGGGAGCCTCTTCCTTTGAGAGGAGGGGGGCAGAACAAGGAGGAGCCCCCCGAGGCTGCCACAGCTTCGCCCCCCAAATCCCACCCCCGGGGTCTGCCCGCCTCTACCCCGTTCTACTCGTGGGGACCTCGGGGTTCCGGAGGCTCGGGGCGGGCACAAAGCGGGGTTGGTGGAGGAGCCGGGGGGGGTCCGGGGGGGTCCGGGATGGGTCCAGCAGCGGCTACTTGGTGTGTTTGACACTCTGCTCCTGCTGGCGGATGATCTGCGCGATGGGGCTGGCGATGCCGCCTATCAAGGTCCAGTACTCCTCGAAGCTGATGCGCCCGTCCTTGTTCTCATCCAGGTCGCAGATGAGCTTGTCGGCGGCGCGGCGGTTCCCGGTGTCCTGAGGAGAGAACGGAGATGCTCAAGCCGTGCTCGGGAAGGGGAAACCCCCCTCCCCCGAGACCCCCGCCCCGCAGCCCCCCACGGGCTCACGGTCAGCATGTGGTTGAGCTCCCGGCTGAGCATCTTCCGAAAATCCTTCTTGCTGATGCGCCGCGGGTTCTTGCAGCAGCAGCAGCGGCTCGAGTACTTGTCGAAGTTGTTCACCAGCACCTGCACGGCCCATTCCAGCTCCGTGCACTCGGCCATGGTTCCCTGCGGGGGCGGCGCTCAGCTGAGACCCTCGGGGGTCTCCACCACAAACCCATCCCCCGCGGAGCGGCCAAGGCCCGCGGGCGCGGGTGGGGTTCTCATCACTCACATCACCCCCAAAAAATCCTCTCTGCCACCTGCGCCAGCCCAGAACTCCCGGCCGGGCCGGGCCGGGCCGGTGATGACGGCCCCGGTGCCGCGGGGCTGAGCAGCGCCAGGGCCGCGGCCGGCGCTTCCCAGAGCTCATTAGGGAGGAATGGGGCAGGAATTACCAGCCAGCCCTCCTGTTGCTTCACGGCTCCGGGAACGGCCCGGCGGGGCAGGTCCCGGCCTGCCGAGCCACCCCCCGCCCCGTTCTCCACGGCTCAGGGTCCCCTCCTGGCTGTCCCCTCCTGTCCCCTCCTGTCGCCGGGCAGGAAGCGCTGGCTGGGCCCAGCAGGATGGTCACCGTCACATCCCGGTGACAAGGACACGGAAACTGCGTCACCTTGGCAGGACTTGGCTCTTTCCTGCCCCGCCGGTGGCCGGGAGTGGGGACAGCTGGGCTCGGTGGGTCCCTCTGGTTCCACACTGGTTTGGGGACAACGGCGAGCGCCACAGCCACCGCCACGTGGGCCTTGAGCGCCGAGGGGTGGCCCAGCACTGTCCCCACTCTGGGGACATCATCTGAGGGTGTCCCCAGCCCGGCTGCTCGCTCTGGGACCTGCCCCGTGCCAGAATTTGGCTGCTGTCCCCTCTCCTCAGCCTGACCCTGCCCAGTCCAGCCCCAGGGAGGTGACACCGGGCTCAGCCACGCTCTCTCCTTGTCCCCACGTGCCTCAGCGTGGCCCTGTGTCCTCCCACGCCATCCTTGTCCCTGTGCTGCCACGTCCTGAGGTCACTCCATCACCCCGGGGCTGGGGACTGTCCCCAACTCTCGGGACTGTCCCCAACTCTCAGGACTGTCACCAGGGTGGCTTTGGGGCTGTCACACAGCGATGCCAGCCCAGGAACCCAAAGGATTTTGGCAAA